TTGTGTTTCTGATGGTAGAAACAGGGAATAAATTATATCCTTGAATATAATATAATAATAATACCTATTATATTAATATTACATATATATTAATATATTACATATAATATTAATATATTATATATAATATATATATATATATATATATATATATATATATATATTGTATAAATATCTAATATTAAATAATATATAATATCAATATATTACATATAATATTAATATATTACATATAATATTAATATATTATATATAATATTAATATTACATATTAATATTAATATTACATATTAATATTAATATTACATATTACCCCTATGTAAATTCTTTTTAAAATTTCAATGCCGTACATATATTTCATTAAAATATTTAATTTTTCATGATATTAAAGAATAGAAAGGAACGAGATGTTTAGCCATTGCATGTTTCTCCTAATTTCCATTTCGAAATTTATTTTCAAATTTTCAGGGGAAAGGTGGTTTGTTTTTTTTAAATCATTTCACCCAAAGCAAGGTGGAAATGCCACTAGTATACAGGGGGTTACAGAGAGTGAAAGTGAGAGAAAAGATTGGGTATAGTGGGGATTGAGGAAAGGATAAAAGATGAATGGGATTCAAGAAGATAGATGATGATGATTGATGTTGCATTTAAAATTTTTGAAGACTGTAATTATCAGGGAAGCAAGTAAATAGAAAGGAGTTCCACAGGCAGGAAGTGCACAAAAAGAAACTGTTGGAATAGAAGTGGCAGTCACATTTAACTATTTCAACATTAAAAGGGTGGGGCCTAGACACCAATCAAGTAGCACACTTAAATTCATGCAGTTGAGGCACTAGGAAAAAAAAGTTTGTCAGAGCATTTTCAATGAAAATATTTGGAGAAAAGACAGAAGGTAGCCACATAATGTCTATGAGAAAGTGACTGAAGTCGAGATGCCAAATCTGGATCAGTTTCATTGCAGATGCTGTTTTGGATTTTGTCAAGAACCTTGAGATGAATAGCAGGAGCACCAGACCAGATATAGCAACAGTATACAATGCATGGGTGAATGGTAGATTTGTAAATGTGCAAGATGGACTCTGACAAGAAAAACTTTTTGGCATGATACAGTAACCAAACTTTCCTTGCAGTAGATGTAACTATTGATTTGATGTAGTTGTTCCACTACAAGTCAGTTGAAAAACTGTAGTCTAGCATCAGCCATGCTGTTGGCAAGCAAGGAAGTCTCTCTATGGTGGCTAAATGAGAGCAATTTCATTTTGGATGCATTAAAATTTACAAGCCATTTCCTGCTTTGCAGCTCTGATTGATTTTCTATTGAGACAGGAATAAATAGTAGTGTCATCTGCATGAATTTCTACTTGGGAACTGATGAAATCAGGAAGATCATTGATGAAGATCAGAAACAGTATAGGACCAGGATAGAGCCCTGGGGGACACACACGTTCGTATGAAAGGATCTGGAAGTGAGCCCATTCAAAACGACCTTTATTTCACAATTTGGTAGGAATAGTTGGATTAAATCAAACAATCATTCTGTAATGCCATAGCCCTGGGCTTAGAATACCAGCATGCCAAACCCTGTCAAATACCTTCAAGATATCTAGAGCCACAGGTAGAGCTTCACCAATTAATATTATCAAAACACAACAAATCTTGTGTATTCAATTTATTAATTTTTTAATCAATTTCAATGAATTTCCTGTCTTTGAAACAAAAGGTGTTCAATTACATTGATTCACAAAGAACACATATTGCCGATCTATCAAATACCTTTAGTAAACAATTGTTATCAATACCTACCTATTTGTGTTTCATTATCTATTGTGCTAAATGAGTGTTTGTAATCTTGCTGTTTCAAATAAAGGGTTTTCTAAGCTGAGTAAACATTTCTGAAAATATGAACTTGTATATAATACAACCCCCCCTTTTCTGCCTTTGATTTTCCTTCAAATTTTCTCATATTATATGCAAGAAAATACAGTAAAAATTTATATATGTACAATTTAGTTCTTTTAGTTGCCAGTTGTTATATATGAAACACTTCTGAAAATTTCTTCACCTGACCCTTAGGTGTATTTAAGAGTTGAGAAAATTATCTCTTGAGAGTGTGTTGTCAAAGTAGATGAATGAATTAGTGCGGGCAATCTTGTACTGTGAATAAAGATGTTATGTTCAATATTTGGGGTAACCTTGAGTGAGTTTATACATGACTTAGGTTTTATGAGACTGATGGTAAGCCCAAAAGCAGAGTGTGCTCCAAAGAACAGATCAATAATTGCTTGCATATCTTCCTTAGTATAGATAACTGTTGTAGCATACCTACGGACGATAATGGATATGTCCCCATTCACATAAATACAGTAGTAAATACTGTATGATGGTCTGCAGTTGGAGATTCATTGTGGAATTCACTTGACTCACTTCTAGCAGTTGACTACTACTTCTACACACTGCTGATGAATCTTATATGTGTTGTTCTTGTCCTAAGTATTATCATTCATTACCAACCTTTGTGCAATTATTCTATTCAGTAGCCTTCCCTAGGTTACAAAATTTATTAATCTAAAATATTTTTAATACTTAAATATTATTTTTAGTGGATACCCATATTTGAGTTGACTCAATCTTTCAAAGCACATCAACCTTTGCATTACAAATGATGAAAATCGTAGCATACCTACGGACAATAACGGGTATGTCCCCATTCACATAAATACAATAGTAAATACTGTATGTTGGTCTGCAGTTGGAGATTCAATGTGGAATTCACTTGACTCATTTCTAGCAGTTGACTACTTATCCTATGTGCTGCTGGTGAATCTTATATGTGTGGTTCTTGTCCTAAGTATTATCGTTCATTACCAACCTTCATTTGATTATTCTATTTAGTAACCTTCCCTAGGTTACAACAATAACAAAATCTGTGTTATCAAAAACTTTACTCATAGTTCTGAAGTGTAGACAAGCAGCTATGTCACAGTCTTTTAAGGTGTATGAAAGAGTTACATCAAAGTAGAAAGAAAATAAGGTTGAGGTTAGAATGTTTTCTGTTACAGATGGTTATTGGCTCAGAGAGTGAACTGTTGAAGTTCAAATAAACTTTCATATCGCAACATATTTGTCTGAACATGATGATGAATTCTGGTAGACATCCAAGTTTACCGAAAATAGTCTGCAGAGTGGTCCTGTCCAAGGTATTACATGCATTGGTGGTTAGATCAACAAAAACCTGGAAATTAGCTACACAATGTTTTAATGCATTTCTCCTGGAGTTGACCAGCGGAAAAAATCATGTCCGTTGTACCATATATGCATATTTGTTCAAGTATCACAAAGTTTTATATACAGACAAAAATATTTGTATGTAGACACATAGACAGATATGCATGTAGGTATTTACACAAACATTTATTGAACCATATGCATAATATGCAAGGGTGTGCTGAAAAGCTCTTGGTCTGATTTTCAAAAATTTGGCCAAATGACCTAATATGAGAATGTTTTTAGGAATCCTTTCCAAGTTGAGATGACCACTTCTTCAGCATTACCTTATATGTTTGTGTATAAAAAACTGTTTTTATATGCACTAATAGAGTAAGTTTATATGTAAAATCTCTCAATGCAACAACAAACATATTCACTAATGTATATATATATATCCAATCAGTTACCCTATAGATTTTCTGTGATGCATAGAAAAATGGTTTCACCACATAAAGTGTTGCTGCTGTAGTTTCTGTAGCAAGTAGATATTCACAATGCTAGCTCCATATCAAACAGAGTTATTCTTCTCCTAGACTAGTTGCCAACTATAGCTAGAGAACGCAGTCTTCCCTGCTATTTAATTCATAGCTGGGTGAGAAGTGATGAATTTATACCTTTCCCAAGAGTACATGAAAGTGAATGCAATGGTTTCAGCTAGAATTTGAACTCTGCACACAACCATACATAATGTATATATTATGTGTGTGCAAAAGTTCACAGTCCTCTTGTTTTTGAGCATACAGTAGTAAATTGCTTTGTTTTTTTATTTTAAAAATGCTAGGAACTTTGGCACATATTCCACTCTACCAAATACAAGACCTTCTATGTGCTGCTGGCAAATAAATAATTAAATAAATTAAATTATTTCTTTCAATTTTCCTTCAATTCTTTTGCTTATTTAGGGCAACACACTTATTATTTTTTTATGGGATTATTATATTTCATAAATTATTTTTACTATTTTATTAATTTCTTTTTTACTAATTTTATAATCAATATTTTACTTTTTTTTTGCTATTTTTTACTATTTTTTTACTATTATTTTTACTATTTTATAAATTATATTTTTATGGAATTATTATGAAATAAGCATTTCCTTATGCAAGGCAACCCACTTATTATTTTGTTTTTAATAAATTTTCACATTTTTTTCCACCCTTATTAAACTATTATAAAAACCAAACTTAAATTAAATGTTTATTTGAACTGGCAGGCTTATTTATTAAGTTGAAGAATTTCCACCAGCATTATTCCAGATGGCACTTGTATTTTGGGCAAAAGAATTCTTGATATCTCAGGCACCAAAAAACTGTGCATGTGTTTTCAGTGTTCTCTTTTTATCTGTTTAAAAAAAGAAAAGAAAAAATAAATTCTTCAAATGACAATAGCAAAGATGAAACCAATGCACATCATTTATTAGCAGATAAACTTAAGAAAGCTTTTCCACGACAAATGGTTAAACTACAAATACAGTAAAAATAACAACTAACAATTTTGCTATTTTCATGGCAAATGTTTAGACTAGTTAAATTCCTTATATCCACACAACTAGTACATTTTTTTTTTTTTTAAAGTAATTCACCCCAAGCAAGGCAGGAGTGCCAACAGCATGCAGAGGATTACAGAGGATTGAGAATAAGAGTAAAAAGGCATGTTTGGGGAAAGGCTACAGGAAAAGACAGGGAACAAGCTCAGAGTGTCGGATGTTGGATTAACTCATTCTCATTCCAAGCTTGCAGCTATGTCACGTTGAAACACCGATTCCTGTACAATCACCAAAGTTAAGGAATGTCAAGCCTGGTCAGTACCTAGATGGGCAACTGCTTGGGAATACCAAGTGCTGTAAGCTTGGATGTGCAGCTGGTATAATGAATAATGGCTTGGAATTGTTAATCGGAGAGCTGAGTTCCAATTCACATTGTGTTCATTATATTAATGCAAATACACTTAGGAAAGGCATGAATCCACATCTTCTTTCTCCAACTATGGGTTAGTCAGACTTGTATCACTCAACCATTATTATCTCCTAACACCCCCCCCCCACAAATTCTTACAATCTAAACCTATTTTGGGGCTTTAAATAACCTGGAAAGGGGTAATAAGCTGTTGAATAATAATCAACCTACATCCTTATCATTCTCTTCATATTTCATTGGTAAGAAAGAAATTCCATCATCTTCTCTAGAATTGTAATTTTGTGGGACATATTCCCAAGAGGATGCTTCCTTGTTCATTACAGTCTTAAACTCTTCAAGTCTGGGGTCAACCATTATACATCCTACATATCCTCATAATAAGCACTCTTATAACAACCTCATTCAGTAACCCTCTAACTTGACTGATTGTTTTGTTTTCTATGGCTTATCAAAATTGCTGCTCAAAATTTTTTAGATTTTAAGAATTTCTTTTGGAAATAATAAAGCTTTAGTGATACAAGTTTTACTAATTAACCCATAGCTAGGGGAGAAGAGGGGGGAATTATACCTTTCCCCAAAATATTTGAGTGTAAGTGAATACAACAAACCCAACAGGAATTGAAACTCAGCTCTTCAATTAACAATTCCAAGCAATTATTCATTACACTAGCTACACATCCAAGCTTACAACACCTGGTATTCGTAAGTGGTCACCCATCTAGGTACTGACTGGGCTCAATGTTGTTTAACTTTGGTGATCATACAAGGAACAGTGTTTCAACATGATGTGGACATGAGCCCCTTTACCTTGAGTGGCTTTTGTACTTTATATTAGATGAATAATAATTTAAAAAAAATTTAATCAAAATCTACCTGTCCATTCTTTTCCAAGAAAAAAAAAAAGCTGAATTAATTATTGAGCTGTCATGACAAGTGGTTCATGTACTATAATCAACAGCAATTTGCTGAAAATGTGAAAAATTTGCTTTCAAGTAAGAGCTATACATACAGAGGTGACATAGTTTTGGTATTGTAGATTATGAGCAATCAGTTAGATCAAATATTAGAAGCAAGACCAAGATTTAATATTGGTGGACATAATCATAACAATATAAGATAAGCAGATGGCAGACAGAAAGAAAACTCCAGGAACAGCTTGATAATGTAATAAAGAAAAGTGAGAAGAAAGGTTTAAGCACCAATTTTAAGAAGACAGAATGTATGGTCGTCAGCAAAAGGAGCTGCAAACTGGAGATGTCAAAATCAAGCGCATACAAAAGTTTAAATATCTGCATAATGTTTCAACTGATGATGAAAATGTGACATTGAAATACAAAGGCATATTGGAATAACAAAAGATGCTTTTCAAAAACCAAACAAAGTCTTCAGGAATATTTGGTTGGAAACAAAGAAAAGAGTGCTCAAATGCTATGTAATATCAATCCTCTTATATGGCAGTGAATGATCAATTTCTTCACAGATGAAGGGGAGGCTTGAGGCAACAAAGATGTGGTTCTACAGAAAAATACTGAGAATACAGTAGATGAAGCATGTGAACAACAAGAATGTTTTCAGGAAAATGGAACAAAAAAGGACACCTGTATTTAGAAATGGAAAGAGGCAGTTGGCATTTCTGGGATGCATAATGAGGAAAGGGGGCTTGGAGAATTTGATTTTCACAGGACATAATGGAAGCAATAGAGGCAGAGGAAAATTTCAAATAACCAACTTTGTGTAAATGGATGGCAGAACAAGGAGTGGAAGAGACAGCAAAAGGTGAAACACAGCTTAAAACTACAAAGGATTGGAAGTTGTGGAGAGCTGTGATCAACCATGTCTTGAAGAAACATGGCATGTAAAAGAAAATATGCTACACAGCTTCAAAGAGTCCAAAATATGTTGGATCCAAAAGAATCCAGCATTATCAGTTTGGTTGCAATCATTTTCCTTCAACATAATATATGTCTCCATCAGTGTTTTCAACCTTTTATTGTCAAGGCCCCCTTGTCAAATTAAATTTTGAATATTATACTGAATTCATCTTTCATAACAAGATAACATTTAGTGCAAAAATAATTTTAATATTGTTTTCATTTCTTTTATAAATGTCAATAATTAAAATGCTAAAAACAAATATTTCATAGCTTATCTTGATGTTTTTAATGCAATGGCTGACTTTGGTGCTTACTGGCTAAGGCTCTTTCTCTAGGTTCCCTGTTGCTTTGAAGTAATCGATCTCCTCATTTTGTAATTTGCAGGTGGTATCTTTGTTTAGTAAGAAGCTGTGAAACTGCATTGAAACCACATTCAGCCATATTGGAAGTTAAAAAAGCAATGAAGAAAAGTTTAATAGATTCCTAAAACTTTAGATGCATTCAGAAATTTCCTTTTTGTAGCCAATATTAACTAATTTTTGAAAATATGAAAAAAAATGGATAAATACCCACCACCCTCTGATTATATTCACCATCCCCCAAATGAAATAAAAACTCACAGTACCCACTTTCAACATAACAGAGCCCACAAGGGGGCACTAGTACCCACATTAGGAAAGACTGGTCTACATCTTACTGGAATATCATGAGATAATTTGGAAATCATTGATTAGGAATTATGACTTTACACATCTTATTCCCTGGATATATCACATTCTGATTATCATCTATTCTTATTTCTAGATAAATGTTTGAGGAAATGAAAGACTTCAAGATAAAGAAATACTCGAGAGCTTTGCAATGTTTTTTTTTTTTTATATACATCAAAGCCCAAGTAGTTTTATTTAAACACATTTATGTTTCTAAAGTAGTGGATGTTTTCATATCAGGATCAGAATTGTGGATATGAACTGCTTGACATACATGCACATACGCACACACATGCAATTCTATAAACAAATACAGTGAAAATCATAGATAAAGACTTTAATGTTTAAAGAAGTAACGGATTTTTTATTTATTAACACAACAAATTTTTCACTTAAATGTTATTTTTAGTTGATATCCATATTTGTGTAGATGCACTGGTTATTTATTAAATAGTATATTTATTTATTTTCATCTACCAGCCTGGATATTTGTGGTAGCATACCTATGAACGATAATGGATATGTCCCCATTCACATAAATACAGTAGTAAATACTGTATGATGGTCTGCAGTTGGAGATTCATTGTGGAATTCACTTGACTCACTTCTAGCAGTTGACTACTTCTTCTATACACCACTGGTGAATCTCATATGCGTTGTTCTTGTCCTAAGTATTATCGTTCTTTGTAAACCCTTTGTGTGATTATTCTATTCAATAACTTCCCTAGGTTACAACAATATTTGAGAAATCTTATTAAAGAAAAGATGTGCCCTCTGGCAGTATTCAAACCTGTGTCCCTCTTACCAGGAGAAACTGTCATTAGATCCAACTCGGTCACAAAGGATCTCGCCAATTGAACAAAGCCAAATAGTGCCTTTAAGTGCAAATTTCTTCTAGGAATCATTTGACATTCATTGACCAATCAGCCAGTGGTATTTTCAGTTGAAACTTATAAAATTTTTCTCTTAAAACGATTTTTTCAGGAAAATAGGTTTCTTCAGTCTAGTAACTGTTATTGCTCTTTCCAGTATTAATGGGGGTTTCCTCCCTAACCTTTTGTTTAAAGTAGTGTGGAATATCAACATCTTGATTTTCTCTTTGAGTTACTATCCATTGTTACTGTTATTGAAAGTCCTCAAGTCATGTGGTTTCTGTTATATAGTATTGTTCTTTGTTAGGAATTAGTGATTCTGTGGTACCATTCCATGTGGTTCAAAGAAGAATGGTTATTACTAAGGCCTACAGAAGCATAATCACTCAATGTCATGCTTGCACTTGAATACACACATAAATATATATGTTTATACATATATTTCTAATACATGTATATATGGGGAAAATGATATATAAATGTTTATAAACAATAACAATTTTGAAAAACATTCTTAACATCCACCCACATATCTGTAAGCATAGACATACCCTACCAACATATGTACCTGAATCCACCTACATTCTTTTAAGATTTTACTTTTTACATTTTCCTGTCTCTTTCCTAGGAAAGCTGTCAATTACAACAATGGCATTCCAAATGCCTTGTCACAAGATATTCGAGTAGACAGTAAAATAAAGATTAGCAGAAGAAAATTACATAAAATAAATGATATTCAGAAAAGAAAAAGTCATTGATTAAAAAACAAATTTTAGGATTAAAAAAATTCTGATAATTTTGATTAAATCAGTCAGGTATTGATAAACTGAAAGACATTTGCAAAAAAAAAAAGGAAAATTATACTCAGTTTAGAGGGTGCCACAAAAACCTGCCAAGAATAACAAGAGAAATAATTATGTCTTACATTACACCTATATTATAACCTCTGCCATTGACATAAGACAGAAACTGTCAAAAGATTTTTCAGAGTTAAAATGCACAAATCTTCAGATCCAAATTTTTCTTCACCACTTTGCAGTTTTAAAATTAATTTCCACTTCAGCCTATGACTTTATTGACTCAACAAAAAGGAGGGTTTCTCTGCAGTTGAGTCATAATTATTCCAAAATAAAAGCCTCAAGATATTTTATTCTGAAATCAAGATAGCTTCATTTTAAAAAACGTCAAAGCCTTTGTATCTTTACCTAACAAGCTATATCATTATTTACACTATTTATATTTGGACTATTATCCTCATCACTGTTGTTGTTATCACTACATTTCAGTTGTTGTGCTCTCCATCTTTCCTCAGGTGTATATCAATATGGGTAACCTACAAGAAATTCTGAACTGAACCCTTTATTTAATGAATGGGGGTTGACTGTTTGTATTTTTATTTAGTACTGTTCATTTATTACTTGCCAATTTCCATGGCACAATGGCCTTGTGGATAAAAGTATTGGTTTGTAAATTTGGTAACGTAGTAGTTGTGAGTTCAATCTCTGGGTCGGACAGTGTTTACTCAATGTAAATGGGTGAGCAATAACTGAACAGTACTAAATAAAAATAAGAAACTGATGATATCCCTAGATATTAGCAGTAGAACAAGAACAGTTTACACCTGTAGATTAAATTAAGGGTTCAGTTCAAAATTCCCTGTAGGCTACCCAGATCAAAATACACCAGAGAGCACAACAGTTGAAACATTGTGATAAAAACAACAAATGTGAGGACAATAGCCCAAATATAAATAGTGTAAATAATAACTCCTCATCCCAGAAATTCAAACAAAAGCTTTTTTATTCTTGCCATAACTTGCTTAATGTAAGAGCCACATACAAAGTTCAGATGTTTGAGAGTCACAAGACATGAACAAAATTTACACATTTTTGTTAAATACATGTATATATAACAAATGTTTTCAAAATCTTGACTTATGATTGTTTTAACTATATTGATCATATTTAATACAGTAATGAACTGCAGGAACTTCTAAGAAAAATGTGCAAATTTGCATTTCAGTAACATAAAATTATATATGTACATGACGTGAGTGCAGTCCCCTTAATCTGCTTACCCATGATTTCAGTCTTGTGACATTCCTTTGTAACCCTTGATGACCGGAAATTCTTTTAATCCCTCTTCCTACCACCATTCCATCACTCAGCACTAAAGAACAATGCTTCACTCAGATCTAGCATTAAAATTAGAATTTAAATTCTTAAATATTTTTACTAACCATGAACATTAAACATTTTAATCCATTGGGGTCTTAATTCATATCCAGTAAATAATTATAAAGCTTTAAATTTTTCTTATTTACCTTTTATATTAA